AGGAGCGACCACAACACCTACAAGAAGACGGAGAACCTGGTGCACCGAGCCAAGCAAGGGAAGACCGAGTGGGCAGCGTTTTGGCTTCGAGGACTCACGCCGAAGGATTGGACGACCCCAGCAGAGTGCGAGACGGAGTACGAGGCAACGCGCACGGGCTCGGCGGCCAACATCACCAGCGACAGTGACGGCAACAAGCTGTACCTGACGGAAGGCCACATTGTCTGTGGTGATGGAAGCGGAGGAAAGCGTGGCGACGATGCAAGATACAGAAGGTGCGGATGGAGCTGGGTCGTGTTGAACAACCAGAGCGGCAACTGGCAGGAAGAGGCTACAGTGTACGGCCCGCTCCCTGGACCGAGACAGAGCAACAACAGGGCGGAGATCACGGCGTTCCTGGACTGCCTGCAATCAACGGACGGCGAGCTCACCTTCTACACGGACTCGGAGATCCTATGCAAGGGCTGGTACGGCAAAAGGTTTCTACAGCGAGGATACAAGAGGGCGCACGGGGACCTGTGGAAGAAGATCATACAGCGACTCGAGGCCCGAGGAGGCGAAGAACTTATCAGGGTGAGGCACATCGAAAGCCACATGACGATCGAGCAAGCGCGTGAACGAAGAGTGCCTGAGGAGGCATGGAGAGGCAATCTCAGAGCCGACGAGTTGGCAGAGACAGCGGCGGCATCACACGCTATCCCAGAAGCGCAAATGGGCTGCTACGACTGGGCCAGGGCTACATCGCACTTAGTCCGCGCGCGAATCGGCCAGGCGTACATGGAGCAGTTCTCTCGGGTGAAGCCGATGACGTGGGAAGAAAAGGCGGAAGCAAAGGCCAAAAGGAAGAAGGAGAAAGACGTGAAGGAGAACTACCAGCACCTCTTCGAGCACACGCCCCATCTACTACGACCTGATGGACGCACGTGGAGATGCGAGCGCTGCAAAGAGTCCATTGGCCGCAAACAGCGTTCACAGGCAGCGAAATGGTGGCTCCAGAAGTGCAAAGGCGAAGCTCGAGAACAGGACGAACGGCACGAAGGGGCTCTTCGCAACGTAGTCCTCAAAGGAAAGGTATCCCACCACACGCACGCCATCTGCTGGTCAAGGCACAAGGAGCGCTACTTCTGCTGGACATGCGGAGCCACAGCGGAGAAGCACCTGAGCCACAAGATGCTGAAGGAATGCGAAGGATGGCCAGCCGGACAAGCATCACGGTACGCACTCAAGTCGCTGAGACGCAAGAAGGAGTGGACACCAGGAACGGGTGCGAGGTGGAATCGAGACACAAAGGTCAAGTTCACGAAGTCCGAGGTCATAAGAAATACACCAGGCACTACTACGAACATCCGCATGAAGGGGGCGATGCACCAGGTCAAGCACACGGACACCACCGACGACGGGGAGCCCGTTTCTCATTCTTGCAAAAGAGTTGTGCCATGAATGCAGTTGTCGAACGGATCTTGATCGACTGCCGCAAGGAGGCACCAGACCGACGGCCACGGTGGCCCCGTGGACTGCGTGAAGGACGGCGGCGACATCCGCGCGCCGTCCATCTGAGCGGGAGGCTGACGCCTGCCGCTCCCGACAGTCGTTGACTGATAATAAAATTCGGGGAAAAAAATCCTCCCCTTTCGCAAACGTGAAAGGGAGCTGCAAGGAATCCGATATCTCGTGAAGAATCCACGTCTCCCGTGTGTGGGTCCAGTTGAGCGTCACGTAGGCCTTCATGACCTTCATGAGGCCCCTCACGTCTACAGGGAAGACTAGCCAAACCAAGAGTGCCGTGAAGAGCCCAGCAAGATAGCCCAGCACGCTGTATTGACACGAAGCCATCTCAATAGATGACGATACCATAAAGGTCGAGCCCTTAGAGGTAAAAGTCGGTGTCGCGATCGTCTCAGCTTCACTTTCCGATGAGAACTCGGAATCGAGGTCGGTTCAGAGAGCACTGCCGTTCACGATATTCAACACCATCGCCACCGCCTTGGCCTTCTGCTTCGGCACCGCCTTCCGAGGGCAATGTGCCGAGATGCACTTGTTCACGTTGCCAGTGATGCCGTTGTCGCCGCCCATCGCCGTCTCGAGGATTTTGGAGGCCTCCCCCCAGGGCACCTTCATCGGCAGTACCTTCTTTGTGCCCAGCAGCGACTGCAGCCACCCACGTTCTGCTCGACGCAAGACTGTGTCCGACGAGGAGCTTCCGCAACTGGCGTCGGTGAAGTATCTCGAGGCTCTGGTGTCGAAGTAGACGGTTTAGCGTTCAGATCTTTGTCGCCCCCCCCCCCCCCCAAGAGTTTCGCCATCTTGCCTCCGAGCGAACTCTTCATTGCCATCGCCAAGTACTCGCCCTGTTTACGCAAGCGAAACTCCTCGGCCCTGTCCTTCTTGTCCTCGCTGGATCTGCCTTGGTCAAGTTCTCCCTCATCTTGATGATGTCCCTGGGTGACACCTTGTCGACTGAGCGAGACCTTGGGCGCCTATCATCACGGTCAGGACGGCGATCATGGTAGCGATCAGTTCCCTCACGTCCACGGTCACAGTCATCACGCGATGAGCTTCCACGATCACGGCCACTGCGACCCCCGCGATCTCCCCCACGACTTGGGATGCCGCGCCGATCTCTGCTGTCGTCTCGGCGGTCTCGGTCATCACGGCGGTCACGATCACCATCCCTATCGCGGTCATCACGCCGCCCGTGCGAGTCGTACCACCCGTCGTAGGAACGCCACGTTTCATCACGCTCTCCACCGCGGTAGTTCCATGACGGGCGGCGTCTTTCTCCACCCATGGTGGTGATCGTCTCGTATGAAGAACGCCAACGTCGCAAGATCACTCGAGCCTTCTGAATGGCAGCGGACAAAGGACAGGCATGGGCTGCGGCACGGATCACTTCGGAGGGGAAGCCCACGAGGTAGAGCTCAAAGGCCAGCTCGAGGATCCATGATACCACAACGGGGACCGGTTATTCCATAAACTGAGTCCGAGCCCGACGTCCCGAGAGGAGTGCCACGATCATGTTGAAGCCTCGAGGGGGCTTATCAGGCCAGGGGAGGTCTTGTAGAGCCCTCGGAGGTCTTGTAGAGCCAGATCCTGTTGTCGTTCTTGGGGGGGAAATCCAGGTAGAGGTCACATGAGGCCTGGGCCATACTTCTATATCTAACCAGATACACGGGCTTTGTGGGTCTTGCAAAACACACGCTGGGGATAGTTTCACACAATACATGTTGGTCAAGTACGTGAGCACACACACACAGCTTACAGTATACCCTGCTGATGTCAATGATGTCATCCATATATCTACGTTGACGTATTTCGATGGAAAGGCGATGCCGCATGTGATGCTAGCACATACATGACGGTGTTCCTTACGATGCCAGACCCACTCTCTGATGCGTGCTCCAACTTCACCCTGAGACAGACCAGAATATTTTCTCAAAATGCCTTGGAGGAACGTGCTAGTAAATTCGTACACCCCAGGATGCTTCGAAGGGTACGGCAGGGGATATCTCAAAACTTCCGGATCTACTGAGGTTGGATCCAACAATGTCAGCTCAGGAGCTCGGGTCAGTTCAGCTCTTCGGACTCCTTCCCTATGTAGATCATGAGCGACTCCGAATCCGACGTCGACTCCATCCCTCGATGGCGCTCTCGAACCCGTGTCCAACCTTCGGTCTGTCTCTCGCGAAGGATTTCTTCGGCATGGGCTTGGCGCCAGCTCTCCGCTTGGTGCCAGAGCGGCGGGCCGAACATGTTGTATGTCCTCGAGCTCAGTCGTGTCAGACATTGCAACCACTGGTGTGCACGAAAGGCCAGGCACCCACGGATAGTTTCAAACAAGACGTCGTCACCAAGAGTGTCGAGGAAAGAAGATGGCATTGATGAAGAGGAGCACCCAGGAGAGGAGGAGGAACTGCTTGACACACGCGTCGGACTCGAATCCGTAACGTACACGATGTAGCGCGCGATCCCTGACTTCCCGTTGCCCACGTAAGCCCGTGTCAAGTCAGGCCAGGACAGAGTCCCTGTTTGCGAAACCACCACTGTCTCTGAGTAACGATTCGCTGGCAAGCTTGAGCCCTCCTGAGAGGGCGGTGTTACGACCTGGACTGTGAGCACACCTTGGGTCCAGGCCACATCGAAAATGCCTGAGAAGCAAACAGCGGCGGAGGAGACCGACGAGTGAGTACGCAAGCACACATGGGCCGAGGAGGACGAGCACGATGAGGATGAAATATTCTCTCAGGGTGGGAAAGAGAGAGAGAGAGAGAGAGCGCCGTTTTGGAAAGGGACTGCCCCCTATCTGTAAGCGGGAGTCTCACGTTTCTGGTCCGTCCGTGTAACGTTCTACCAAATGTTGCGATGAGGGAGTCTTCTTAGCGTGTAGCGGCGGTGGCCCCTGCGACACGCTGCGCCATGCAAGCCCCATCGCGTGTCGCTCGTCTTCGTGGAAGGTTTCGAACGCCGATGCTTTGGAGCTGGGACGTGGTCCGCGTACCGCGCCGAAGCGTTGTGGGCCAGAAACTGGTGGCACAAAAAATGCGAAGCCACCGCTGCTGAACGTAAGCCTCGGCGTTCACACGATCGAGGCGTCTCACGCATGAGAGCAAAGTGTACGTAAGAGTGCCCTTTCGCCGGAGTGAGCTTTGGTGCTGGCCCAAAGGGCTCCCCCGGTCGCTGAGCGCGAAGCGGCAGCAGCGGCTTGCGCGCCCAGCTCTGGCCACCCCGCGTCCCCCGTGAAGCCGCGCACCAAAAGTCACTCTTACCCAATGTCACTCTTACGTGTAGCCGAAGCTAGTTCGCAACGGAGCCGCCCTTCGCCCCTGTAGGCGTCAAGTGCTCTGAACAGACCGTGCGCGGCGCTGAGGCAGCAGCCACGCGTCGCGGACCGCCCGCCCTCCAGCATCGCAGCCGCTGTGCAAGCCGAGTTGGAAGGCGAGGGCGATACCCCCCAAAAACGGTCAGCGCTCAGCCCTTGCAGCTGCCGGACACCTTTCTGACGCATGAGGCGCGGCGGTGAGGCGAGCGACATTTTCTTACCAGCCGAGAGGAGCCCGGTGGCAAGAGAAAGAGGGACGAGTGGGGAGGGGGGAGGGGGGGGGAAGCGGGAGGGAGGGAAACGCGCGCCGGGCGCGAGCCCAGGCCCTCAGGGAAACGCGCGCGCGGCGGTGAGGCGAGCGACACGTGCTGAGGATGGCCCGCCCTCCATCCGTGCAGAGCTGTTGGAGATTCTCGCCTCGGGGCCCCAAGTGGTGAGGGGGTCGAAGGCGAAACGCCCCACCCGCGGAGGAGCTCATGCTTGGTGGTGCGACGCGGAGGAGCTTGTGCTATGGAAGAAGGATGAGCGTGGAGGAGGAGGATTACCCTGATACTCTAGGTCCACTTCTTGTCCCAAGTGGATTGCCTGTTTTTTCGCGTGCGATCGTCCCACTGTCGGCTGGACCTGTTGTAGTTCTTGCGCGTGAGCCGATGCGTTCTGATCTAGTACTTTGGATGTGCTATTCGTTGATGTGGCACCGACGGGCGCCCCGACCCTTCCTGATCCACGCCTGGGCGCCATAACCAGGCCCCTATGTCGCGATTCTTCACAGCGTCGACCCACTTGCTGTGATCTCGGCCTCTTCGCCGGAGGCCGGCTGTTCATTCCTGGTCGTTCTGTAACGGTCCCAGGGCCCGGTAGGGAAACCCACGAGGCCGAACGCAGTCAAACACCGTCGGTCGTGCTTTTTCTCGACGCAATGGGGGCCTGGTTTTCGGTTCACAACTCGGATATCTGGCGGCCGTTCGGGACGATCTGGGCACCCCCAGCACGCTCGCGCCGAGGCGCAGCTGCGGGAGAACAACCCGAGGCGGGAAGGCCTTCCAGAGCCAAAGGAAATATTCAAAATTTCGCCACTTCCCGAAGAAGTCGAAGTCTGGGTGGGTGGTCGCTGCGTAAGGGAAACAAGCCCTGGGCAGAGCAACACGCAACACGACCTCGACGACGCCGACACCGACGACGACGAAGACGAGGCGCGCAGACGATCCGCACTGAAGCACATATTAGGGACAGGGCCCACGCTGCAGGTTCGGTCAAAAACCACATCGTTGAGCGGTGCTGCAGCCTCCCCTGAGCACAGGCCCCCACCCAGAGCATCAGCCAGGCAAACCAAATTTGCACCCTCATGCCTTGTTGGACTCTGGGCGCGTTTCGGCATTGCCTGTCGCCGCCACCCCTTCGCCATGGCCACCGACCCGGGTGACGGCGACAGCGACGGTGGCGGTGGCCGACGCGTTCTCTGCACCGCGGCTCAGAGAGCCGAGAAAAGACAGACGGATGGACGGACGGACAGCCAGGCGGCGTGCAATGCTTGGCACGCCAAGTGGGTGGTCACTGCATAAGGGAAGCAAGCCCCGAGCAGAGCAACACGCACCACGACCACGACAACGCCGACAACGACGAAGAAGACGTGGCACGCAGTCGATCCGCACTGAAGCACGGATTGGGGGCAGGGCCCACCCTGCAGATTCGGTTAAAAACCACATCGTAAAGCGGTGCCGCAGCCTCCCCTGAGCACAGGCCCCAACCCAGAGCATCAGCCAGGCAAACCAGATTTGCACCTTCTTGCCTTGTTGGACTCTGGGCGCGTTTCTCGGGGTTTGGGTTACAGTCGACCCGCATGGTAGGGATGAGCGACGTTCCAATGGTACCCTTGTGTATCCTTGCCTCTTCGGCCCATCCTTGGTCACTTTCGTCGGCCGCGCCCCGCTCGAAATGCTTAGAGATGGGCAGCCAAGGCCTTGCAACCTTATGGCGCAACCTTATGATACGGGTTGACTGTATGAGGAGGACCTTTGCCCCCCCTCTCCGCCCAGGCCCCACCCGTGGCTGCACGAGCGCCTGCGGCGGGTGCGGGCAGTGGACGGCGGGGCGCTGGCCATCGAACGGCGCCCGTGGGGTGAGGGCAGGCAGGTGGGAGAGGGGCTCCTCCTCGATCTTCGAACACGAGCATCGAGGATCAATTGATCCTAGCCTCGCCTCCACCCTCGATGGAGGATTCGCTTCTCCTCTTCATCCTCCTTTGATCCTCAGAAGGGTGCGGGCGAGTGCGGCGGGCGAGGCGGGCGCACAAGGGGGGCAGGGGAGGGGCTAGGCAGCGAGACAAGATTCCGCGGGAACTCCAACGGCGATCTGGAGGGCACCAGATCAGCGGCACCGTCACGAGATCCTGTCGGACTTGTGACCTCAAGAGTAGAACCGTCGAGGTTTCCTGCGAGACTCCAGGATGCGGGGTGACAGCGCGGTTTGGGATCTTGGGTCGCTCTCCGAGGACATATCGGGCGGCGGCCCCAACACCGTGCGACGATTGAGCGTGCGGTGAGATCTAAGGGGGATTCCGAGGTCACCGCAGGGTCTGTGACCGCACCATTTCGGGACCCCCAACTCAAGAGTACGGTTCCTTGCAAGAGCTTCCCAGCTGCAAGCTGGACTGCACGAGGGTTCACTCGATGCTTGCCCCCACGTGTGCAGCAGATGTCTTATCCTGCGGCACGCTGTGGAGTGTGGAGTTTCACTCATGCTATCTGCTCCCGTCTTCTGCTTGCCACACTCCTGCCATGATTTGATCCTCGACGCGAGCGCCCGACGCGAACAAAACGACAAAACACGAGGGCGGGGAGAGGCGCGGTGTTGAGCGTCGAGCGTGCCTGCCGGGCGCCCTCCCGCTCCGAGGCTCGTCGGCTCGGTGCTCAGCAACAGGCACAGCGACCCGTCCGGGGGCCACGCGGACCGCTTCGCGCCCCTCCCGCGCACGGGCCTGACGCTGAACCACGACTGGCTGCACATGACCCCAGGCGCCGGTGGCGGGGGAACGGGGCGCTCATCGGGAGAGGCACATCTTAGGAATCCCGATGCCGCTGCTTGTCCTGGAGAGTCCTCGTTGCCACGGCTCGGTGATCGTTTTTGTTACCCATTGTTTTGCCGATCAGCGCGGGCCTTCGCCCCCCCCCCCTCCCCCCTACTTCAGCCAGGTGGAGTCCTCCCCCATAGGACACAGTGTTGCAAACAATCGCACTAAGCAGAGGTCCAGAGCCAGACTCTTCCTCTCCCCCTCCCCCTTCCGCCCAATGTCGAGACGCCGAATAAAAACAACGCTCGCTAGGTTCTCGAGATCCTTGCTTAAATGCACCCCGGGGAGGTCGGGGGAGTAGCGGTATCGGCACCTGTTCGCCCCCCCTGCTCAGGAGCATCGGTGCGCTCAGGAGCGCAGGGCGAGCGGGGGCCAGCGGCAGGGCATGGTGGGGGGGGCGTGTTGCTCTCGGGAAGGGGAGAGGAGAGCAGGAGGGAGGAAGGATACAGGGACGTGGAGAAGGAAGGACGGATGGATGAGAGGAGGAGAAGGAGCAGGAGGAGGAAAACGCTGAGGAGCAAGAGGGGCATGAGGGAGAGGAGGAGCAGAAGTCCTGAAGCTACAGAGGCTTTCGGCGCTCCTCGCCAGTGCCATAGGTCCAGGAGAGTGGCGCATCCTGGTCGACTGGTCTCTGGTCAATACGATGCAGTAACACAGTACTCCAGCGAAGCGCCCTGATAGCAGCAACTTTGAAGAGGCGGGTCGAGAAGCAGCATGTCTGCCAGGGATCTTAGATGCAGCCGGGACATGGGGGGAGAGCACGGCCTTGTGCACCTTTCTGTGCTTTAACTAGAGATCGTGGCGTTCCGGACCAAGCATGTAGCCGACATTGGGACGAGAGCACGGTTTCTCAATACATCCCTTCCAAGTCTCAGGCGAGACGGTTGCTGGACCAGGCGGTCTAGGGCCCAGGGCTCCCCGTCCCCCCTGCGGTACTCTTCTGTGGTCCTTTTCATTTGTCTCAGAACCCTTTAGAAACTTTGGAGCCCCTTCGAGGGAGAAGAATGGGGAAAGGGAGGAGAGAACGGAGAGCATGGGAAGGGGGCAAGATGAAGAGGGGTAGGCGGACAGGAAGGGGGCGTGAGAGGAGGGATGGAATGGTGGCGGTGGAAATGGTGGAGTGGGGGTGGACAGGGAGAGGGGGGAGGAGGAAGGAACGGGGGAGATCCAAGAGGGAAGTGGGGAGAATGCTGAGGGAAAGGCATGAGGAGGAGGAATGGATATGGTGGAGAAGTTGGAAAAGAAGGAGTGAGATAAAGGAAGAACGGGGGAGGGTGGGTGGTGGGGAGTGGGAGGTGAGGAGAGGTACGATGGAGAGGGAGCGCTGGGCCGCTTGTGCCGCAGAGCCACTCTGACCTGCGGCCCGAGCAGAGAACAATATGCAGCCCTTCCTGGCAGTCGCCAACCCCCAGAGAGTGGGGGCACGAGGGAAACAAGAAGGTGAACGAGGAACCGCCCTGCCGACATCCAGATGTTTTCTTTTGGCGCCGACCCCTGGCTCACTCGGACCCCTTCATCGGGAGACGGTCTTCTACCATCCCGGCTCGGTGTCTGATTGTTGAGGGAGGGGGGGCCACCAGAAGGGGGTCCATGGAGCCCCGAAGCGTGCAAACATGGACATCGCGATTTCATGGGCTCGCCCACATTTTCAGGGCGCATCCATTGCCATGGCGTTTGATGCCATTCGAAGGGATACGGATCTGCTTCATTCAGGCTGGTGAAGAGGCGCGCGGTGCGACGCCAAACCCAGATTGTCGACGGCGTGGTGTTGTCAGTCGAGGCGCCCGTCCTCTGCTCAGGTTTCGCGGGGCCCGTTTCCAGGCACGGGGGCCACCAAGACCTGGCCCGGGGGGGCGACAACCACCCCTGGGGGCGGGGTTGGGACTCCTGGTGATAATCTCGAGCAGGTTTGCAGTCTCGGGCAAGTCTGCCTGCATGGCAAAACCCCCCCTCCGTCCCTCCGCCGCCTTTTCGAGCAGCTCTGGGCACGACACAAAGGTGTGTACGTGAGTCCCGACTTGCGTGACATCCAGATTTTCTTTCAAGCCCCGCCACGGTCTCCCCCCTCCATGCAAGTAATCTTGAAGGAGCCTGGCTTAGAGAAAAGCCTAGACACCCCATGCCCCATGCCGTGATTCTAGTTCGCAGCCTGGGCCTGCAGAGGGCTCGACTGCCTCCCTGCGACCAGCTCCTCATCCCGCGTCTTGGTTTTGACGGCCCGTCCAGCGCAGGCAAAGACCGTCCGGCGTGCGTTTTTTCTCGGCGCGGGGGGGGGCTGGGCTCCGGGGTTATGACTCAGATCGACGTGCGGCGGCCGTGCGCTGGACGATCTGGGCATACCCGGAACGCTCGATCTCGGCGACGCGCAGCTAGGCCTCCCAGCAGGTGGGGTCCGAGCAGATGCATCGGCGATGCGGCTCGATGCGGAGCCCGATATTCTCCGCGTCGTCGATGCACCGCCGACGTCGCCGGTACATCGCCGATGCATCGGCGATGCGGCGCGATCCTCCGACCCCATCTGCTCCGACCCCATCTAGGAGGCCTCTATGGAGGGCATCCCGAGGCGAAACCACCCCCTACGAACACGCCTGACAACATCGAACGACGAGGGCTGAATAAGAAACCTTCGTCGCGATTCTGTTCCGAACGAATGGGGGGGGATAGGGAAAGGGGGGGGTACGAAATCTGCTGCATGTAGCTAGCTTCGGCTCCGCCGCCGCGCCCATCCCTCGATACATGGGCGCCTCCCGGCGCCGGGAGGCGCTGGGAAAATCAGCTACGTGAGCTGATTCTCTACCCTACCCTTTGCTATCCCCCCTTTCCTATTCTCCTTCCGTTCCACCCGAGAGAGGCGCTGTCGGGTGTGCGCTGTCCCACCGCGCCGTCTGGGAGCGGCGGGGGCCCCAGCGGATCCGCGCGCCCGCGGGCCGGGCCGGCTCCGCTCGCACGGGCGTGCCCAGCAGGGGGCCGGTCTCCTTCCCTTCGGGGGAGGCCGGGAGGGGTGTGATCACCAGGGGCTCGAGCGTGGAAGTCATGACCGGGGCTCCCCAGATGTCGGGTATAGCCAGGACCCCAGGTAAGTGGACCCGGTCAGTGGTAGGAGCTCGGAGCCCCTGAATTGGCCAGGATCACTACACCAGGTCTGCCGCAGCTCGTGTTTTTGCGGGTGGCGGCAGTTCCAGGTAGTGGAACGGGGCGGGGGGGGCGTCCCCCGGTACCCATCACTAAACCAGGTCCCACTAAACCCAGTTCTGCCAACGAACGACGTTTGCCTTACGGTCCCGCTTATGATTAAGAAGCCTTCCCCCGAAAAGTTGGCCCAGCGTTTCTTAACCAATTTGTTGGAAAGCTGGCGCAAACTCGTAAGGGGATTGATAGCCTAGGCTCCTAGAAATGAATAACGTACGTTCCTGACTCCAAAAGCTGGCCTAGCGTTTCCTTAAGAAACTTCTGAAAAGCTGGCCCAGCTTTCTTACTTGATAATTTTCTTAATCATTTTTTGGCTGTGTTGAGAAGACGCGTTTCGTGGGCGCTGGCCTGGAACAAATCTTTGGACACGTCGGACGGGGGTGGCGGGGCTCTGAACACTTGGCGCGCGCTCGAGGGGTGGGGGTGAGGGGGGCGCACACCGGCCTCCCTACCAGGGAGGCCCCCCCCCAGGAGGGGTGGGTGGGCCTCCTCCTTCTCCTCTTCCTCCTCCTCCTCCTGCCCCCCCCTCAGGAGGGGGTTAGAACTGGTGGGGGGTCCTTCCGCTTGGTAGGATCCGAATAGGGCTTGGTCAAGCGTGAATCCCAGACCCCCTCGAGTCATGACAAAAATCACGACGGGAGGTTTTCGCTATCTTCTGCATCCAGGGGCCCTTACTGGGCCTCGGGGCCGTCAAAAAACGACTCGGGATGAAAAACAGGTCCCAGGGAATGGGTTGGGACCTCTGAGGGTCGCGTCATGAAAAAATCATGACGTCGGGGGTCTGGGGTAGCATCCTATTGTAGGCGGATCCAGCCGTACTTGAATCCTATCAAACTAAGCTCTACCCAACTTGAGCAGCATCATCTTCGGGCACTTCCCAGCTCGAAATGAATCCTACTGAGGCTGGATCCAGTTTTACTTTCATTCGACCATGGTTTCGCCCGAATCTAACAGAATCCTACGAGGACTCGGTCTAATTTTCAAAGCGACCCAGTAGGGCTCGACGCAATTCGTAATATAATTCTGTTATATCTGTATTCAGCTATATTTGAATCCTACTAAGGCTCGATGCAACTTGAATGGCATCCTGCAAGGCCTCGATCCAGTTCTAATATCACCCTGACAGGTTTCGATCCAGCTTGATTACATCCGAGTAGGGCTCCACCCAGCTTCCATCGCATCCTATTATGTTGGACCCAGCTCTAATTGAATATTGTCGGGGGTTCGATCCAGCTCTAATAGAGTCCGACTTGCGCTCGAGCCAGCTTTGAGAGCATCCTACTTAGGCGCGATCGTCGTCGTCGTCGTCGGCGCTGCCCGACGGCGCCAGCGCCGGCGCAAGTGGGGGTTTCGACGCCCCCCCTTTGAGCCCCCCGTGGTTCGAACCCCCAACGCCACTTGCAATTCTGGGGTGGGGCCAGTTTGACCCCCCCTTCCCAGCGTCCACAAGCCGCGGTGTGTGTTACTGTTGTACGTCCCCTGTTTCCCGCGTTGCTCTCGCTCATGCCTCGGGCCATGACTTGCGACTTCCCCTCTCGGACGCCACCGATTAACTACCATCGTGGGGGGTGTCTCCTCCAGACCCCCTGGAGGCTTTGTGGTAGGAGGCGAGGCTTTCGTCGCCAGCCGTTGTCTCTTGGAGGTCCTTCTGTCTCGGGATGCTCTCCTGCAGCTGCGCCTCGGCGGGAGCGTTTTGGGGGTGCCCGTATGGTCCTGAACGGCCGCCAGAGACCCAAGGTATGACTTATGATGTTCCAACCTACTTTAGCCTTGATCGCCAGGAAGACGTTCGAGCACCAGGAAAGTACCGAAACTGCAGGGGTTTCACGTGTCGGGCCCTGGGAGGCGATACTCGTTCGACACCGTTTCGACACTTCTCTGGGCGCTCGGAGTATTTTTTGGGATGTGGTCCTTAAGTACGATTGGTGCAGCAGGAGTAATGATTCGAAAACCAACCCGTTCCCGGATGAAACACCGGCCTGGGGAAGGGGTCGGCAAAGATGGGGGTAATGATTAGGGGGGGGGGGATATCATGGCGTGGGCCATGATATTTCCTCAGATGTCATGGCGCCCCTTCTTATTTCATTACGAGCCCAGCCCCCCCTCCTGGGCCGCGCACATGCCGCCAGTCATGATTTGTTGCACCCCCCCTCTTGGACGCTCCTCCCCTCTTGGTTGGCCGCCCCCGATGGGGAAGGGGTCCAGATCTCCGGCTTCCGACGCAGTTATTGAAAAATCTCAGGAGGGGAAAAAACACACAGACACAATTAATCCTCGATTCCCAGAAAATATGGGAAAATATGGGAAGTGGGGGGGAAGACAAAAACCCAGAAAATATGGGAAAATATGGGGGATATTTTTATTTGTGTGTATTTATTTGTGTGTCCCAGTTCCCCTTCATATTGAAAAATCGCAAGGTGGACGTTTTAGTAGTTTTCCGCGCAGGCTCAGGGGCCGTTCGAAAACGACTCGTGCGGGCGTTGCGTTGTGGGGGGGGGGCGATTGCTGGGGGGAGTGAATGCAGAGGCACCTTTCGTGAACCTTCGGGGGCCCCAGGGGAGCCGCCTGGGCCAGGCCGCCTGGGGCCCAAGAGAGGCACGAGAGGTGCTCGTTTCTTCGCCCTCCCTGCTGTCGCCCCCCCATTGAGCAACGCCCCACTCGTGATGAGAAGACGGCTCTGAGAAACGGTCGGGACTTCCAGGGGCCCCGCGTGGAAGAAGTCAAAACTTCGGCTATCTCGGAGCCTCTCGAGGCCCTTGCCCGTGTCGGGCCTGGGAGGCAAGCGGCGAGTCAAACGAGAACGGATACCGGGGGGCGAGCCAGGATTCCAGAGTACGGCAGGGGAAGTTGTCGGGTTCGTCCTGTTTTGTCTTGGGTTGGCCCCCTTATTCTCCACCCTGGAGGTGGAGGGTTTCCCCAAGGGCTTAGGCGACCCGTCCTCCTCCTTCTCCTCTTCCTCCTCCGCCTCCTCCTCTTCCTCCGCCTCCTCCTCCTCCTCCTCCTCCTCCTCCTCCTCCTCCTCCTCCTCCTCCTCCTCCTCCTCCTCCTCCCTCCTCCTCCTCCTCCCCCTCCTCCTCCCCCTTCTTCTTCTCTCCTCCTCCTCCTCCTCCTCCTCCTCCTCCTCCCCCTCCTCCTCCTCCTCCTCCTCCTCCTCCTCCTCCTCCTCCTCGGGTCGTCTAGGCCTACGGCCTCGGGGGGAACCGTGCAGCTGGAGGCTGGGGCTGTTAGGTTTGAAGAACAGAGCTCCCGTCCCGCCTCCCACACCCTGCGCACTGCGGCCCCCGGGCCCCAAGGGCCCCAGTGCTCCCTGGGGCATCCCGACTCGCATCTCCGAGGACCGACGACGGCCGCCGGGCCCCTGGGGTTCCCTATGCTGTCTGGGTGGCCCGCCTCGCGTTCTCGGGCGGGGATCGCTCGAAGCAGAATCACTGTTTTGCTCGCTTCTTGTTCGCCCCCTGCTCTCTCGACAAGCTCCCAGGGGGCTGTCAGAGGACGGCCCAGGGTGAATTGGCTGGCCGGCTGGCCCCCAGCCCAGCAATACATGTATGTATATGTACATATATACAAGTCTGCAGGGGCGCTTCGCGCCAGGCACCTTGGTCCTTGAAGTTTGGTATGCAGGCGGAATGGCAGGAAGGTCAAGCCGACAATTTAGCGATGACTCCTTGTTGCCTTTTCCGGCATCGCCGCTATACTAGTGTGATTCGTCATCTTTCCTCTATCATTATTCTTGTGTCTCATGTTCGCCATACCCTGCGCATTCTCCACATCGTCCTCAGCTCTTTTTTGCGGAGGCTAGGCTCTCCCTTGGAGAGCCTTTGGGGGCCTCGCAAAAGTTGTTTCAGGCTTTCTTTCGGCCTTCTGGAGGCCTCCTGGGCATATTCTGGGGGCCTCTGGGGGCTTCCTCGGGCCACCCTGCCTCCAACCGCGGTATCCCTGAACGACCGGGTCACGATTTGCAATGCTTCAGGGGGTGTCTTGGGGCCATCTTGGGCCGCCATGGGGCTCTCTGAGGGCCATCTTGGACCCGTGTTGTGCCGTTTTGGGGCTTTATTGGACTGCCTGGAAGCCCTTTCGGATGGTTGTGGGGCGAATGTGGAGCCTCCCAGGTGGCTTCGGACGCCGGAAAGACCGCCGTCTTGGAGCGTCGGGAAGCCGAAAAGAGGAGAACCCCACAACAATTCACTAAAAACCAAATGACAATCAATGATTTTTGCCTCTTGGGGCCTTCTTTGGAGTGCTCTTGGAGGCCTCTTTGGGGCCGTCCTGGAGGCCTCTTGGGCCATCTTGAGGTCACGTCGGTCGCTCTTGGAGCGCTCTTGTGCTGTCTTGGGGGTCTATGGGACGTCCCCGATGACCCCCTGATCGCCCTAGGTGTACTGGGAAGGCTTGGCAAAACGCCCTGCGAGGCCCGGGGGGCTGCTTCGAGGCCCGTCCAGAAGGTCCCAAAGCCCGAGATCCCAGGAGTCCGGTTTTTTTTGGGGGGGGGGCGGGGTTTCCCCCCCGCCCGGGCTTGTAAACATGTAGGAAGAGAAATATTGATTCTCGTTGTCCACTCTCTTGATGAGCGGTGGTTGCACTTGGACGGCGCAATGTCCGCCATTCCCCTCCTGAGTGTTCATGCCCCTGCTCGGTATCGTCATACCTTCCCCTCATAACTACTCGCTCTCCCCCTGACCATTCTTGCGATTGCTCCTCCCCCTTCCGCATCCATCAAAACCCTTCTTTACCATTTTCTTTTTCGCGCCCAAGTCTCCCGCCTCCTCACCCATCCTTCCTCGCTCCCCCTCCGCACTGATGTGCTTTTTCGCTGCGGCCCCGTTCACCTTTTCACTCCTCCTCCCCACTTCATTCCCGATCGTCCTCACTACGCCTCCTACTCTACCCGCCTCCTCCTCATCCTCCTCCTCATCCTCTTTCTCCTTCTCTCCCTCCTCCTCCACCTCATCATCGTCATCATCATCATCATCATCATCATCATCATCATCATCATCATCATCATAATCATAATCATCATCGTCATCATCATCATCATCATCATCATCATCATCATCTTCATCATCTTCATTATCATCATCGTCATCATAAGCATCATCATCAGCAACAGCAGCATCCACATCGTCACCACCATCATCATCACCACCACCATCATCATCATCACCATCAGCACCATCATCATCAGCAGCATCATCACCACCATCAGCATCAACAACATCAGCATCATCATCATTATCCATCACCATCATCACCATCACCATCTTTCGTCTCTCCGCTGATCCACGCTGATCATGCATCCCTCATCCTCACCCAATTCCTCGCTGTTTCCCCGCCCCTTCCCTTGGCCCCTCTTGCTCCGAGAGCCATGCCAATGGCACGGCAGCATCCCTCGGGCACGAGCAGATTCGGACAGATGTGGCGCGACCCGGTCAGCGTTACAACGCGAGCTGCGGCCATTCGGAAAGAAACAGCAGCGAGACTGTGCAATCGGAACTCCAGACAGGGTTCTGCGCAGCCCAGGCAGGCCGGCAGCTCCGCCCCCGAATGCGTGCGAAAGGTGCACGTTTCTTCGCCCCGCCCCACCCTTTCCAGTGCCCCCCCAAATCCAGCAACGTCCGACAAGTTGCACCTTCACCTTTGCCTCGCCCCCGACATCCGATCCTGCAGGCTCAGGAGGGGGACGCGATGCCGACGGCGCTGCCCAGCCCTCGTGTCGCCACGGCCAGCTGCGCCTCGAGCTCCTGGTCGAGACGCGCCCTGGGAGCGGTCTCGCGGAGCGGCGGCGGCGGTGATTCATGGCCTCGTCCCCCGCAAGGCGGCGTCGGTGATTCATGGCCTCGTCCCCCGCAAGTTTGGCCCGAGACCGAGGCTGGCTGCGCCCTGCGAGGGGGCGGAGCCGCTGTCGTGGGCGCTGGTGCTGGAGGAGCGTCGAGGAGGACGGGTACGACGGTTTGGAGGAGGAGAGGGAGGAGGAGGAGGAGGAGGAGGAGGAGGAGGAGGAGGATTTGGAGGAGGAGAATCGTGAGGACGAGAAGGGTCGGGAGTAAGCGTAGGATCAGGCTAGCCAGGTCGAGCGAGTCAGAGGGCCCCGCCAACCCCCGCCCTCCCTCCAGTGGTGGCACAACTTGCTTCTGGGATGGGAGCGCGCTCCCGCCTCTCCAACGGGAGGCGCTCGCGCGCCGTTCCGCTTCCGACGACCTGGCGAAGGGAACACACTGCGCGGGCCGCGAAGGGGCGGGGGCCGCGAAGACGAAGCGCGCGCCGCGCTGACACACCACTGCAAGTTCCGCCCACGAGCTGCGCGACGTCTGGGCGAGGTCGGCATGTCGCCCGCTTTTCGCGCGGCGGCCCGCTGCCGCCGTCGCTCCCGTGCGCTTCAATTGCGGCGGACGGACTCTGCGCCGCCGCGCGTGCGCCATGGCACGTCACTTCCGACGCAGCTGCGCACGGAACCTGGGCGAGGGCAAGAAGTCGCCCTCTGGGCGCGCGGGCCTCCCGTGATCGGCGCATGACAGGCATCCGCGCCGCGCCGAGGCGGGAACGCCACCTGCAGGCGAAGTCTGCGCGGCCCCCGCCCTCGAGGGCGACGTGCTCGCCCGCCCGCGCGTCGACGAGAGTGCGTACGGCCAAGGTGCGCCGCGCCCCCGTGGGAGCTCAGCTCTCAAGAACATCGAGCGCGGTGCCGAGGCGAGAGCGCCCTTCCGCCCTTCCGCGTCGGAGGAGCGCCCCGTCCCGCTGCTGCCGCGCATGCTGCAGCATGGGCGGCGGACGTTCATGCTGAGGCAAACAACATGCTGTTGTATTTGGTTTTTACAGGTCGGGCTCAGGGAAGAGAGAGGGGATGCTCGGGCGAGTGAGCTTTCACGAACAACCGTATTTGGTCGCAGCGGAGAGCGGTAGTGGCGCGGCGGCGTTTCAGCGCTTCAGAAGCTTGCAACTCTTGTTCCTCAAGCTGCGTAGCGAATTCTTTTGGTAGCTCGTCGTGGTTCCCGCCCTCCATCAGGCGGCTGCATATGACTGCCGCCGTGTATTCTAAGCGATCCAACGCTTTCTGTCGGGATCCGTAGCCCTTGCCGCAGGTAGTGCGCACATAGTTGGCAACGAGACGACGGGGAGGACGATGAGGTCCGCAGCCATGGCTCCGTTAATCAATCTGCTCAGGATGGCTGGGTTTCGCAACGTTTGGGCCTGCGGCAGAAGGCGGTGCAGGTTCACGAGCGACCACGCGTTGCTGCCGGCGTGGTTGCCCGAAGCGTTCTTGCTGCTCTCCGTGCGGCGTGGCTGAGTCGAGCCTTCATTTCGTAGGAGATCGCGTGTTGGCTAGCGCTTGACTGCGTGCATGTTCTAGACTCCCGTCAAAGGCGGGCGGTGTTGGCTGCAGGATTAGCCGGCCCGTCCACGATGCTCGCCGGACTTCGCATCTGGTTCGGCAGTTGTCGACGCGAGTGTTGCAGACGCGGTCGCGACTCGACAAATCCCACCAGACGGGGCGGGCAGCCACGGCGTTCGGCAACAAATCATGGGAGCCTCGTGTACCCTCTTGATTTCGTCTGTAGCGTCAGCTAGCGTCGGTTCGCGTCTGGGAGACGACGGGACAGCGCCGATTTGGCGTCGGTCCGCGTCGATCTAGCGTCGACCAGCGTCGATTCGCGTCGGTTCGCAGGAGCCGACACGATGCTGTGGGGCAGGCTCCCGTGAGGTGCCACCGAGCACGGCGCGAGCCGTGGAGGCCCAGGACGTCGCGGGCAACACCTCGGCCAAGGGCTTGCAGTCGCGCACGGAGGCGGCGGCAGCCCTGGCGGAGGAGGAGGAGGAGGGGGAGGAGGAGGAGGAGGGGGAGGAGGAGGAGGAGGAGGAGGAGGAGGAGGAGGAGGAGGAGGAGGAGTGGAAGATGAAGGAGGGTGAGGAGGAGGAGGAGGAGGAGGAGGAGGAGGAGGAGGAGGAGGTCTTCAGCAGCTGGCGGCCGTGGACGCGGGCGCGCGCCAGGGCGCGCCCGGAGGCGCCGCGGCAGGCGTCGAAGACCAGCCACACGCAGACGTCAAGCAGTGGCGAAGCGTCCTGGCTCGCGTATAGGCCTACCATACAATGTTCTAAGGACCTGTTGTGGTTTGCACAACATCTTCTTATATCATTTCTGGCCGACAGTGTATTTTTTCACCGCATCGGGCTTATGCTCTGAGAACATGGTTTTTGTTATTAGAACATGCTTGGGTCTAAGAACATCTCGTGGTAGGGCCTATACGAATTCCAGGAAGGTCGGTCCCTGCTCAAAGAAGGGGGTACAGTCAACCCGCATGGCAAGGATGGGCAATTGTCCCAAGGGTGCCCTTGCATCCTTGCCTCCTCGGCCCATCCTCAGCGACTCTCGCTGGCCAACCTCGTTCAAAAAACGCCAACGTGACCCTCCAAGGCCCTTGCATCCTTTACCGCGCATCCTCATGATACGGATTGGCCGTAGGGGGGAGGGGGAAAGGCTTCTCAGAAGGAGGCTGCTTCTCAGAAGGCGCGGGCATGGTCTGCATAAATGTGAGGCCCTTGCCTTCGAAGAAACAGCCTCCTTCTGAGAAGCCTTCCCCCCTCCCCCCTGCCCCCTTTGGTGCGACCCTCCAACGCGCCTCCAAGAAGAGGGCGGGCTCCCCCCCTGGGAGACCCTTCCGAGCCACGACGTCCGCTCGCGCTCCGAGCGGGCCTTTCCCCCCTCCCCCCCTACCCCCTGGTGCGCGCCGCCAAGGAGGGCGGGCTCCCCCCCCGGGAGACGCTTCCGAGCCACGACGCCCGCTCGCGCTCCGAGCGGCTTCGGCCGCCCCCGCGCGCGGGCCTCTTCCGGGAGGCACGCCGCTCCCCTGCGCAGGCGCGGCCGGGCGCACCGCGCCGCTGGCTGCTGGCCCGCTGGGCCGAGGGCCACTGACCCGCGCTCTCTCTCTCTCTCTCTCTCCTTCGTTCACCCCTCGCCCTCTTGGCGCGTTCTCGACACCGTCGTGCGGTATGGCCTCTTTCCCACGCACACACCCAGATCGCTCAGCAGGCCGTCCCCCTGTTCCCCAGCGGGTGCCCACTGCGCGAGGTCAGCGCTCGCACCGCTCTCCAGGCTGATTTTCCGTTGCGCTGCACAGTTGTTCCGCCTTCTCGGGCTCCATGGGCACACTCAATCAATGCCCGTCTTGAAATTCGAAGAACGGCCCTCCTGCCTCCGGCCCTCCCTGTAAAGTGCCCGTGTTTCCCGCGGCCTTCTCCACTCGAGGCTCTTCCGCATCCTCTCCCGGCTGTGTCGGGAGGACGTGTCGTTGTCGCTGCGCCACGTTGGTCCTGGCCGCTCGGAGGGACTTCAGGGGCCCAAGGGGGAGAACGTGCGGGGGGAGCCATGTGCTTGCACGTCGCAAGTTTCGGACAACCGCGTTCGTCGATAACGACAGTTGTGCGTCGCTCGAGTGCCAGGCTGCTGCAACCCTCAGCAGCTCCAGCTAGTCGCCGCCATGCGCGTCCAACATGGCGCGCCCAGCAATGCGCATGTCCAGCGTGAGGCAGGGAGAGGGGTGGCCGTCGTGCAACTCCGTGCACGACCAATCCAGCATTGGCTGGTTCGTGTGCGGTCTCGCCATCCGCGCGGATGTATTACACGCGTCAGATTACCGTGGTCGCGTGCTAGTGGACCATGCACGACGAACATGAGATGCATGGCCTCCCCCCGCTGCAACTTGTGTGATGTGATTCCTGATGCCGCCGTACTAATATGTGACGCATCCGTTCTCGTGTCCGTGGTCGTAACTCGCATGGTTATCGGGCGAATCGATTGCTGTCCGTGTTGTCGTCGTAGCCGTAGTGCCGTTGTGAATTAGCGCAGCCGTATCAGTTGATGTAGGCGCATTCGTTGTAAAATTGGCATGCTCGAGTGCATACTTCTATTGTTGTTATTTGCACGCCACAAAGCCGTACCCAGCTGCCTGCGGCAAGTCCCGCCACCGTGCCAGCCCAGCATTATGGGTGGCGATTGATCGAGGGGGCACAGGAGACCCTCACGTGTGATACTTTGCGTCCCCAAGCTTGGGAGAGCCGTGGTGAGGACAATGATGATGATGATGATGATGATGATGAGGAGGAGGAGGAGGAGGAGGAGGAGGAGGAGGAGGCGGAGGAGGCGGAGGAGGAGGAGGAGGTGGAGGAGGAGGAGGAGGAGAGGGAGGAGGAGGAGGAGGGAGAGGAGGACCAGGAAGGCCGTCACGCGTGACACCTTTCGTTCTCACTTTTGGAGGATCTCCCACGGAGCTCAATTGGGCTGTATCGGGGCTATCTTGGGCTCCTGTGGGGCAGTCTCGGGGGCCCATTGGGGGGCTGTCTTCGGGCCGTCTTGGGAGTCTCTTGGTTGTATGGTGGGTGAATTGGGGCCGGCTCGGCGCCGTCTTTGACCGTTCAAGGGCCTTGAGGGCAGTCTTGGGTCTTTCCGGAGGTCCTCTTGGGCAGTCCTGTGGTCATCTTGTAGGCCTCTCGGGCTGTGATGGGGTCCTCCGGGGCTGTCTTGGGACCGTCTTTGGGGCTTCTTGGGCCCTCTTGAGGCCATGTCTTGGGCCGTCTTGGAGGCATCTTGTGTTCAGGAGCGCGACATTGCCGCATTGTACAAGATAGTGTGGCCTCGGGAGCCCGGATCGATTGTATTTTACAGGACTTTAGCCTCGAGAGGGGCTGCGGCTTATGCGGGGCAGCGTTATGAGAGGGGGGGCCTTAGAAGATTACAGAAACCCTTCTACAGCATTTGGTATTCTAGCACACCCCAACGTGCCAGTGGACATTGTTGCGGATGAAATGCTGCATTCATGAATCTATGTGTTGTTGCTACTATTTTGGGTACTGCTTACCATGTTCGATCCCCATGATGGCCCACATCCCACTGCTACTACCACTGCTGCGAGCGCCGTTGAAACTGCCACT